TGCGTCTAGTATGATTCCGAGAAAATGGTGGTATTGACAAAACTCAGCTCCTTCGTATTTAAAATTATATTAATATTAACATGTTTGTCATTCGGGGTTATGCATTTCATACATTTAGTTTTAGTGCCATTTAAATGCAAATCATTAATATTTACCCAATTTACTAATTCAGACATAGCATTTGTTATAATATATTATAATTCAAACATCTCCACGGCACTTTCCCAGGTATTCTTGTGTGTGCGTTGTTATTTACTTACCTGGCAGAGCCACACTGCAGCTACATTATGATCGTAGCACGAATGGCTCGGCTCAACCAGGGTGGGCTGCGCTCTCACAGAACACCTGCTTAAAATAACAACTTAATGCTGCTGTGTTTCATATGGTGAGAGTAGAAAACCAGAAACCCTTTAGTCTTTAGGGATAATAAGGCATCTGCATTTTTATTCTTAATCGATGTTAAATGAAGATGTCTATGGGCCACAGCATACACTTACCATCCGGTGGACTGTGTGCTAATTTGTGACACTTATCCTATGAAAATAAAAAAAAATTATTTCTTTTTTTATCTGTGTATACATCAAAATAAACCTGATTTTATAATATATATATATATATAAATAAAACTAATTACATAGAATATCATGTTTAATTTTAACTAAGATTAGCTGACAGCATCTTAGGGTACACTTACATCAGGTGTTCATATATCGCATCCAATGATGTCATGACCATGTCTCTACTAAGTATGATTTCTTTTATAGAATAATGGTGTCAAATAATCACACAAGCCACCTAATAAAACTGGATGCTGCGGAACACAGACACTAGACATCTACATCTATCCCCAATTAAGAATAAAAATGCAGATGTGTTGTCACCCCAAAGGACCAAATTGGAATGCCTTAATTTCAGTATAAGAGCATTTCCTAAAATGTTTGCATGGGTCTAAAAAAAGATATGAAAATTAAAATGGCTAAATTCTGAACTTGTATTAGTTTCAAAAGGTAATACTCTTCGAAAATCAAAATCCTTCATTGTTTTTGTAAAATAACTGAGATTTTATTTAAAAAATGCCAAAATAGCAGACAGAATTGCTTGATAACTTTCTGACTTTGATACTTAGAACTAAATGAAATTAATAATGGACACCACATGCAATTATTGTAAATTTGTATTAAACATAAACAATGTAAGCTTAGAAACATGTATATAATCAAAACTAATATAAATGTAGTTTAAAAGTTGTAATTGCTCAATTAAACGGCATTTCTGTTTTGTTACTTTTTAGACAAGTCATATAAAAAGCTGTGATTTTTCAGTTCCAGTTACCAGTTTTTCTATTCTCTATAACAATAATACTATAATCTGCTTTAAATTGTGTCTTCTTTATATTTTAATGTAAATTGAACAGAATTACCTATGAAAGATAGAACAAAAATATATAGGACAATAACAAAAAATGATGACCAGTAACAAAGTAGGAATTTATTTACTTATAGCTTATTACATAACTGTATTTTCTGTTCGTCTCCCCGCCATCGTCTCCCATAGTGGGACGAAAAAAACAATTATTGTTTTTTCGATCGCCCCTAATTTTTTTTAAGAGGGCGAAGGGATTACACGCAAATTGTAAATAATGTATGATTATTTACCTACCTAATAACTTGTTTTAATTAAGCAAAATTGTTTGACGTCCAATGCCACTAGAAAGTATTAAATACTTTTTGTTTGTTCTCGTATGTTGAAGTCGAGTGAACATAAATAGGAACAATAAAACGAAAGAGCAATGCAACTTCAACATATGTGAAAAAATACGCGCCGAATTGAGAACCTTCCTTTTTCGTCGGTTAATATACACAGTATACACTCAGTTTTACAAATTCTTTTTTGTTACTTCATCTTCCACACAAACATTATCCTATGAAAGTAATCAAAACTGAAGTAACGAATTGATGGGTCGCAGTCTTTGAAAAATATTTTTCATGAACATACTAAAAGAATATACTAAAACGGCACTTTATAATAATCTTCAGTGGTATATGAAATTTATATTCTATTATATAATTACTAATTCAATTATACACTATTGTTTTATAACAAAATCCGAATGATTTTTTCCAACCTGCAGGCTGACCTCGTCTTCCTCTCAAGTTGTACGAAGTATACTGATGTTTTACAAAAAACTGATGTCTAATATCATTCTACAATGTTGTCAAAACTAAAATACAGATTTTTTTTAGTAGTTTTATAAAAGAACATGGGTAAAAATTGGTAACAAAGAAATTGGTTTCATTATGGAACTTTTTATTGGACAATTTTATTTAACTTAAATGTCATAAAACAATATTGAATTGGATCAATCGCGCTAAGAAAAATGAATTTCAATCAATTATCATTTCATTTGAAATCTAAACGCTCTTCATATTCAAAAAAGTGATTGGAAAATTTGCACTTGAAGTGTCTAAAACAACAAAGGTACAGCTGCTTTTCATATTTTGAATATTTATATGAATAATTTATGAAGTATCATTATATATTATAATGTATTTTTCAACACTTAGATACATTTAAACACAAAATAATGTTAACTGCAAAACATCGAACAAGAAAAAAAACTCCCGTGCGAAAATTTTAGCAAATGCTCATAAAGGGTCCACAGTTCTCTACACTCACTATATAAAACACAGCAGCATTAAGCTGCTATTTTCTGCTGGTAATCTGTAAGTGTCGTTTTTCACTGGTCAAGCCAACCAATTCATGCTAAGGCAATAATATAGCTGCATCATGGTAGCTAAGACATATATGTAGTGGAACTTTTGGAAACTCTTCATACTCAAATGAATAATTTTTATGAGTTAATCAGACGATTGGCCTACAGACTAATCAGGTATAGCCATTTTCAGTGACTACCTGATGGCACAATTGACTTGATATTTGCATTCATTGTAGAATTTATTTGCTAATTTTTCATATTTTCATAGACCATATCTACACTGAGTGTTGAATCCAGATATTTTTTTTATAATGAAATTACACCCCATAAGTATAAACATTATTACTGCTCAAGTTGGATTCAGTGATTATAAAAATTAAGCCCAAAGAAATAAAGCTATCACCAAGTAAATTCAAACCAATTTACCTAGCATGACTTTAAAAGCAATTAAAGAAAAGTTTCTATGTGAACAATGTTGGAAGCATAACTAGTTACAAATAAAATTTGAACATTATTTTTAACAATATTGATTCATGCCAATTAAAGAAGTCAATAATCACCTCACTAAATCCATACCCAACAATCTCTTTTGCCTGGCATCCCCATCGCCTTCATTATTATTTGTCCACACCGCCTCATTGCCAATAACAACATTCTTGTCATTGGCACCCATCTCTGCGCCCCACATCCATGCCGGCTTACTAAGTATCACACTGTTGATTGGATCGGAACTTTCATCAATAGTTATATAAGTGCACTGAAATATTATATTGTATAAGCTTTAAAATTATTTCACTATACATAGCTTATTTTATATCCATTTCACATATAAAATAAGCTATATATAAATATTATATGTAATATTTTTTTAACTTATTATAAGCCAGTGTTTGATTACAATCCCACCTGGTGGTAAGTGGCGACAGCCTTAGATGGTAAATAGCACTGTCTTAGCGTAACAAAAGCCTATTCACTATTGCCTTAAAAGATGCCCAGGTTGTATTCAGAAGGAAAGATAAATGCTGGCAAATTATTCCACTCCTTTGTTGTACGCATTAAAAAAGTCAAAGCATAGGTTTGGTTCTAATGCATGGAATATTGACAACAAAGGGGTGAAGACCCACTGTCTGCCTGGTTGTCTGATGGTATTTTTGCTCATATTAACTTAATGGGCCAACTTTAAAAGAAAGGAAAACGGTTAGCTTTTCCTTTCCCTTGCAATTAAATTCTCTTTTCTAGAGAAGTTCAAATTCTTAATGCCTCAATTAACAATTATGTACAGAACCGGAGTTACGTACATAAACAACACATCAGCAATCAGTCAATACTAGTATCAGCACAGACTTTGTTATATAGCTTGACAAACTGACAATCAATGACGAAGAAATTTTCTAAAATTGCAGTCTCCACCTAGTAACCTAAGGCATGCAGGAAGTCAATGGATGCAGGCTGCTAAGGGCCGTTCTTTGTGTTGCTAAGTTTACAGCCGAATATTGTTATGATTGGATTTGCCTTAATCGACAAGCTGATTGATGATCAGTGTCAGGCGCCTTTGACACTGCTCCTCATTACCGATCGGTCATGAACGGGAGGATCTGTTGGAAGCATCAGGTCTTTCCCCATAGTCATCTGTTACGACAGCCTACATGAATGGGGCGATGAACGTTTTTTCTGTTAAATGTATTTACCTTTACTTTAGAATTCCGAACTCTGTCCTTTATATAGACGACTTCTTGAACTTCGTTCTGAGGCCGGTCGGAATTTTTTCCAAAGATAACCTCATTATTTTTCGTCAGTGGAGGTAGAATAACGAAGGTGTCACAAGATCTCGGGAACAACATTATGGAACAAGTAAAAGCGAAAGTTTTGAGACTGACTATGACTAAGACTATTCCGACTTCGTTTAACCTTGACCTATGCTAACTTAAATTTAAATAATTTCTTAGTTTGTATAACTATTATGAAGAATGAGGAAAAAGTATTTTTTTTTAAATAGAGATGAGCGAAGAGCGAACTCGATTTAGTGTTGCCACATTGAATTACCGTCCGCAGTGTTGCCAACGGATGATATAGCAATTCGCCAGACAAGGATCCTCAAACCACCAGAAAATCACTAACAAAAAGATGTCCCCCTCTGAAAACCACTAAAATTTCCACTAAGATATATGAATATGATTAAAGCAAAAAAAATTTAAAATTACGTTTATTATTAAAAATCTTATTGTTGTTAATATAATTTTTTTACTTTTAGTAATTAAAAAAATCAAGTTGCTTAAGATATTATTTACATTAATAAATCGTCTTCAGATGAATCTGCATTTTCATTTTCAGTCTTACTGTTATCCTTATCAGACTGATATGACACCTTCGTACCAATTTGTTTTATAAGATTTAAAGGAATTTCATAATTGTTGCAGCACTTTCCCATTAACTGCATACCGCAGCGTATTTTTAGAATTGATTTCAAAAGAGTTAGCTTCATTCTGTTTCGCTGCTTGTTTTTTATAATATTCATGCTACTAAAAAGTCTTTCCACATCGGCATTCGAATGTGGCAATATAAAAAGTGTAATCGCAAATGTTGCTAATTCTTGAAATCGAGCAACACCTTGTGCATCTTTGAATTTCAAGACTTCGCTCCAAAATTTTTTTTGTATCTTTTGTTTCATTCCATCTCAGTAAATGAATTTGCTGCCATTGATCGTCAATTTTTGCAATTAATTCTGTACTTGTTACGAACCGAGCCATTATATCAACCAGATTTTCTTTGTTGTGATGCAGGGCTTTTTCGACACTTATACGGGATATTTGTTTCATAAGAGTAATATTTTCCGGCAATCTGTTTTTTATTTCGTCAATCAGACAAACTATAAACTGTAAGCACCTATTCCGCAATACTTTTTCCTCTCCCGTGGAAAACCGTCCTCTTTCATTTCTTGAATCTGTTTTTCGAATCGGAATCCCAGGTAGCATCTTTGGTCCAAATAGTCACGAATATTTTGAGTAAAGATATCTATCTTATGTGTAGGCTACGTTACTTTGGTGACAAGCGTATCAATACTACCATATGTCAGAGGAATCACAGACAAGGTTGGCTACATCTTGAAGCGAGCTCCCATTAAAACATACTACAAGCCGCCGAAGAAGATTAGTCAATTTTCACCATCCGTCAAGTGTAATATCCCTCTACAAGATGCAGGAGTTTACAAGTTAGATTGTGAATGTGGTCTCTCTTACATAGATCAAATAAAAAGATCCATAAAAACCCGCGTGAAAGAACATATAGCTGACGTGAAGCACCGACGCTCAGGGAAGTCTGCAGTCTGTGAACATGTTCAAGATCGTCCCCACCATTACATCAGACTTGATAAACCACAAGTCCTCGCAAAAGAATATCGATTCCTACCAAGGATGATACGCGAGGCTACTGAAATTAAAAAAAACATCCTAATTTCAATAGAGAAGATGGTTCGGCGCTGCCATCTGCTTGGGATCCTATAATTAACAAAATTAAACCTAAACCCAAGCATACCACTGCAAGACTTCAAGATACTGTAAGTTCGTTTTGCGTAAATCGGACTAAAAATTAATTTACAAAAACTGAAGGTAGCAGGGCTAACAATGACATTGGGACGTCAAACATCTCAACCCCCCCCGTGACCATGGTTGCTGTAAAGCACCCGAAACGTCGGGAATTAGAAATAAGTAAAAGTAGTGAAATAAACGCGATAAAATCCGTAAATTTAGTTTTATTCAACGTATCAATCAAGTTTGTTAATTCACCAAGGTGTGGTCCGTATTTTTTGACTCAAACATTTTATTAACTCTGTTTATATCAATCAAAATTGGATAAATAAATGATACATATGCATAGTTTATATCATTCGCATACATAGAGTGCAATAGCTCTGACGTGTGGCACCTTTCGTGCAAATTAGCAATCGAAAAATGAGTTTTAAGCTCCAGCCATTGCGTATAAATTCTCGACACAGCAGACTCTATGGATAACCATCTAGTTTGACAGGCTTGAACAATTTTAAGAGGCTTCTGTCCATCGTTGATGGATTTGTATAACTCTTTATAGCTAACTTGTCTGGAAGACGAGCGAGCAAACCAATCATTTGTCTCTCTAATTAAAAATTCAAGATTTCGCGAAAGAAATTCCTTTGCTTCTGATGAAACAGCCAGTTGCAAGGAGTGGCATAAACAACGTACCAAAACTAAGTGTGGTATTTCTTGTTTCAATCGGGCAAAAACTCCATTATTTACGCCACCCATCACCGAAGCATTATCTGTAACAAATAAGTATACCCATTAAGTTTTCAATTCGCAAGTCGAAATGTTTAAGCGTCCGCTTTATGGCAGAAACAATATCTTCAGCATGACATGCGTCGAGTTCAGCAAGGTCCAAATAAGTTGAAACTATTTTTTCATGTGTAGTGCTGTAATAAATTATAACTAAACCCAAATATTTTTGTACAGCAATATCTGTGGATTCATCTATTAATAAACTGTATGGTTGATCTTTAATGTCGTTTTTTTATAAGTTGTGTAAAATGAGATGCTAAAATATTTTTTATTACATACGTGCACTTAGTTCGGTGCATCTGCATTTTATTTCTTTTTCATGGCTATAGTTAATAACTTCTCCTAAATGATCAACTGTTCGTATACTTGTATGCATTGCTGTAAATAATGCAACTCTGGCTTCATCTTTCTTTTTATTATCAGTAGACTCCTTTTTGAATGTCAGCTTAGGTTGTTTGGTGATAACCTACAAACAAATAATGAAATATATAAGAAAAATTTAAATGCAACCTCATTAATTGACCAAGTTCGAACGGTTATAAATAACAAAGACGAAGCTATAATTTACCTTTCTATTTTGTTGGTGCTTTTTCGAAAGAGCATGTGTTTTTAAATCTCCGTAGTGACTTCTTAATACCGTTCCACAAAACTTGCATTTTGCTACTTGGCTAGTAGTACTTTCAAATACTTGAAGCCATTCTTTTAAATCGGGATCTTGAAGCCAAGAATCCCTAAATTTATGGGAATATTGAGGTTTCGGCATAGCGTCGTATGAATAATATTTTCATTTAAAAATGTGTAATCGGAAAACGAAACAAAAACAAACAACAACGCACTGAATCCGTTTAAAAACATTGGACTAAGTATTGTAAAATGCTGTCAAATAGAATAGAAAGCGGAAATTATATCCCTCTCAACTATTTAGTATTCCGGAGAGCGAGATACAGATAGATCTCGCCCTTGCATTCCATCGTTTTTTATTAGTCGCCTTATACTAAATATATTTAACGGGGAACCCCCGTGAATACTTTCCAATCCAATGTCTATGGAAATGAATTGGTGTTGCCTGCGTAGTAAAATATACTCCTAAAAATATATAGGTTTATATTTTGAAAGTATAAAATATGGCTAAATAGACGTTTGAAACAACTATTTATATGAAACGACTCGTTTCTTATAATTTATGATAAAATTTCCAATCCGCTAAAAAAAAAAACACTAGCCACTAAAAGCAAAATGTGCCACTAAAAGGGGGTTCCAAACCACCAGATTTAGTGGAAAATCCACTAAGGTGGCAACAACACTGACCGTCCGTAAAGTCCCTATGAATTTAGTAACAAAAAAGTCCCCAAATGGCGCTAAATTTAATTTTATTAAAAAACGCGAAAGATAAGAGAGAAGAGACACAAAGATAAAATCGAACAATATATTCATCGAACATTAATATTCTTATATATATATATATTTTTTTTTTTTTTTTTTTTTTTTTTTTTATAGATTATTATATATACGAATACTAATGTTAATTTATTTGTATTGGTGATGGAATGTAGTTGTGCTTTTTTTAATGAGTTTATTAATATATAATAAACTCATTAAAAATTCTTATAAAACTTATTATTTCTTTAACGGATAGAGTATAGTATTCCTTACGCCTAAAGTAGTCAGATGGTAACAAAAATTGAAGTAATTGCAAATGTTGCTAAAAGTCGCCAGAATATTTTTGTCGTTAAACATTGAAATATACTCCCCAACTTAACAAAAAAACCCGTTAGATTTAGCGACAAAGTCGCTAAAGTGGCAACACTGACGCGATTTAACAAACCGGTATAGGGTATATATATTCTAGTCTCTAGTATATATACAGTAATCTATGATAATATATTGATATAATTTCCAAGCCGAGCCCGAGTTACAATTTTAACAACTCGAGTTGCGAATTGCGATTGCGTTAATTTTGTTCGTAGTAATATGGGTAAATCGATTACTCGAAGCTGACAAGAAAAAGTTTCTAACATAACATTTTTGGCTTACAATTTTTAACAAAACAACAACTTTTTGAATAAAAGTTCCTTGCTCTTATTCATAATATATCTCTTAAATTCTTTACGTAAAATCGTTTAGTTTTAATTTTTACAACAACACAACTTTACAACGAAATTATGAAAGGATTTAATGATGAAGCCTATTTTTAGTTCAAATTAGTAGAAGTTAATTTTTTTTACCTTTTCTAACATCTCGGAATAATGAAAAATGTCTGAGACTAAACTTCTTGCACAAAGACTACTATAATTGGTATGTCTAAACAATATTTACAAAAAAAAAAATACGTTATTTTAAAAAGCTTAGTCCCCACGGTGTAATGTAAGAACGCTTTAACGTTAAACTTTAAAAAATTTCTTACTGAAGCTTATTTCCAATGTAATATCGTAATTGACGAGCTTCTGTCTTATGTACAGAATAAAATATCGATAGCTGACGAAGAAAGCTTGGTTAAAATTTGTGCATCATCTTTTACGAGTGAACAAATTCAAAAATCCCATACGTTATTATTTGAATCGGTACCTTCCGAGCTACGAAAAATTTTGCGTAAAGGAAAAGGAAAGGATAATCGAGTGCTGTATGACATACTCAACTTTTTTAAAGTCACGGATCCTGATAAGCTCCCTATTTTTGTAGCTAGGGACCTTGAGAAGCTACCACCTATAACTTTCGACCACTTAGATGTCTCTTCTCTCTCTGTCAGAAGATTTTAAAAGATCTTGTACGGATACAGTCTGAAGGAATTAAGGAGATTAAATCGACGTACGTAACGGTTGAGCAGCTAGAGGATATAAAGAAAGAGTTATGTAATTTTAAAAATAACTCGCCACCTTTCTCAGCGGCTAAGATCAACATCAAGAGAGGCACGTATCGTGACAGCGGCCCTATAGGGTTATCGCTTTTCGATGAGTCGACTGTTAATAGTAGTGAAGGCAAAACTAGCTGTGAACCTTCAACAGCTAAGGAGTATAGTTTAAAAAATATAAAAATTAACGAAAAGCAGTCTGAGGGCAGTAGTGAAACATTATCTGATGCAACATTTCAACAAACGCCTGGCTCAGTGACGGGTTGTCGCAGGGACGACGCGAACCGCGATGAGTCACAGCCTATCGTAAGTGACCGTAATCGACTGTCGCGTAACCACCAGTCAGCTGGCTTTGGAACGACGGATAATGAGTCGTATGCGCAAGTAACTTTAAAGTCTAATAATGAGTGGACAGTTGTTCAGAGGAAGGGAAAGAAATCCAAAAATCGCGTTGAAGGAAAATCAGGGATAGCTGTGGTAGAAGCGGATGAGATGTTTAGAGCAGCGGAAAGAAAAACTCCTCTGTTTATAAACAATGTGCATAAAAATACTTCCGAAGCAGACATTGTTCGATATATCAACAAGATGACACAAGAGACGGTCAAGTTAGAAAAAATATCCATCAGGCGTCAATGTGACTACAACGCATATAAGTTCTTCGTGGCACAAAATAAACTATCATTGTTTTTGGATGAGAAAATATGGCCACAAGGCATAATTTTCCGTCGCTTTATTAATTTCAAACTAAAGCGTAAAACTGAAACTTCTGGTAAAGAAGACGGCGCCACAAATTTAAATAAATAAATAATGGATAATAATACATACATACAGATTTGTTACTTTTAATTGTAAAAACGTGAAACGCTCCATAGATAACATACGCGATCTTTGTAAGAATTATGACATTATAGCATTACAAGAGACATGGTTATTCACAGAGGAAATTGATTTTCTGAACACCATAAGTAAGGATTTCAGCTATACGGGAGTGTCGGCGATGGACACAAAGGGGGGCCTGATAAGGAGGCGACCATACGGAGGTGTAGCTCTGCTGTGGAGGCGTAGCGTTTTTAACGATGTTACCGTTATTAAGTGTGATAACCCGCGAATATGTGCTATTAAAATAATTTCAAAAGAAAGGTCATTTTTAGTGATGTGCGTGTACATGCCAACAGACGAGGCAGTCAACATGGTGGAGTTTACGGATTTACTTAGTTCGGTGAGTGCCATTGTAGACTGCTGTAGTATAGACTGTGTGTATATACTGGGGGACTTTAATGCTCATCCCTATGAACGATTTTATAACGAATTATCGAGCTTTTGTATTGATCAAAAGTGGTCTTGCATTGATATTGATATGTTAGGTATATCATCTAATACGTATACATTTGTTAGTGATGTACATGGGTCGAAGAGGTGGCTAGATCACTGTCTGGTGACTAAAGCGGCGATAAAGTCCATACAAAATGTCTATGTTATTTGTGATGTGTTTTGGTCAGACCACAACCCACTTGTAATAGAATGTAATTTAAATATCGTTTCGCCTGTAAAATTACCTAACTGTATTAGTAAGAATATAGTTTTTTGGGGGGAGAGGACGCCTGAACAAATAAACATATATCGGAATGAATGTCATAAAAAGTTACGGCTCATTGACTACCCAAATGAATTGCATAAATGTAGCGATAACATGTGTTCTGATATTAGTCATAGAATTGTTATTGATAATTTGTATAAAAATATTGTAACGGAAGGCGTCCTCCGTAGTAGGACGTAACTGTAAAAAATCGAAAAATAAGGTAGTTGTGGGCTGGAACAGGCATGTTGCGGAAGCACATCGAAGGGCCAGGTTAAAGTTCCACCTGTGCAGGTACCTACTTCCGGTACCATATATGAGGAAATGTGTGAAGCTAGAAAAATATTCAAATCTCGCTTAAAGTGGTGTCAAGATCACGAAAATCAAGTTAGGATGGATATTCTAGCTTCACAGCAGTCGAAAAATGATTTTCGCTCTTTTTGGAAACATACCAATAGGTTACAATGTAAACCGGGCCTGCCCGTGAGCATTAGTGGTGTAAGTGAGCCTGAGAAAATTGCCAACTTATTCGTAGATCATTTTGCAGTTAAATCTCCTCTTGGGGTTTCACGCTCGTTACTAAATACGGTGCATAACAAACAAAAGAAAATAACTTTTACAATTAAAGAAATAGATCAGGTAGTTAAATCTATGTCTAGAGGTAAATCCCCTGGCCAAGATGGGCTCAGTATCGAACATCTCAAGTTTGCTGGCCCGCACCTACCTAGAGTACTTTATTTATTATTTAATCTCTGCCTAGGACATGGATACATGCCCCCTGACATGATACGTACGGTTGTAGTGCCTATAGTGAAGAATAAAACAGGCGATCTCGCGGATAAAAACAACTATAGACCTATATCGTTAGCAACTGTCATTTCAAAAGTGTTCGATAGTGTGCTTAATTCGCAATTAAATAAATACATAAAACCATACGACAGTCAATTTGGGTTCAGACCGAAATTGTCTACAGAAAGCGCGTTGTTGTGTCTTAAGCACACTGTCACTTACTACACGGCACGCAAAACGCCAGTCTTCGCTTGTTTCTTAGACCTGTCAAAGGCTTTTGACCTTGTGTCCTACGACTTACTGTGGGATAAACTGGAGAAGATCCAATTACCTTTAGAACTCATAGGTATTTTCAAATATTGGTACGGGAACCATGTATGTACCAATAATGTGAGATGGGAAGGTGCCCTATCTAGATCATACAGTTTGGAGTGCGGGGTAAGACAGGGGGGTTTGAGTTCAACCACGCTCTTCAACCTGTATGTGAATGAGCTGATAGGTGAGCTCAACAGCATCAGAGTTGGCTGTCACATAGACGATGTCTGCGTCA